AGCAGGGAGCCCGATGCGGGACTCGATCCCGGGACTCCAGGATCATGACCTGAGCCGAAGGCAGTCGCTCAACCAACTGAGCCACCCAGGCGCCCTATATATACATATATATTTTTTTTTTTGATGCCACTAATCTGATAAGGAGGGTAATGGTGCAGCTCGGCTCTGGTTTCCTGCCAGAGGAATGGCTATGCTATGAAGTCCTGTTTATAGATGCTTTGGTCTTATCTGTGACATTACCTTTGACATATGGCATCACAAGGCAATTCATTCAAAAGCTGCTGGTGATAGCAAATGAAGGTCTCGTGTTCACACTGGAAGCCAGGCAGACCACGAGCATGACCCTAAATAATGCCAGTTTCTTTGATCTGCAAAACAATATGTGGCTTACGTGTTTTCTGGAACAAAGAGTATGGCACAGTGGGAAGAGCATTGTTCTTAGATGATGTCTCTTGGATTCCTCCTTTCACTTCTCTCTGTCTAAGTTTCATCATCACCAAAGTCCAGAGGAGGTGCTTGCTGGTCTTTCAGATCCCTCCCAGTTTGAAAACCTGGGATCTTGTGAGCTGCTGCAGAAACCAGTGACTGCTTCCACTCTGACCTCCCTGTGGGAAGTTTCCATCCAGTAGGAATCATTTTTCTGGTGCAGGCCAGTACATGACTCTGATTCTGATCAAGCCGTCTATGGATCCAAAAGCTCTGCTGAGTCTGCAAAACCATCCATAATCCATGAGGACGGTGTGTGCAGGCTTCCCACACACAGTTACTGCATCCAGTGGTTTGCAAACGACAGCCTCAAGGGTCCTGCCAAGCTTGCAGGGAAATGACGTTTAAACTCCTCCTCAAGGATCGGAAATGGACCAAATACAGCCTCTAGAGTCCTTGTTCCTTGGCATCTCCGATACATAGTTAAGTGCCCAGATATGAATAAATTCTGGAATAGTGCTAAATGAAAACATGGCTCTGACCTTCTAGGATGCCTCTGGCATCCATTTTCAAAAACACAATTTGGGGTAGCTTTGGAAGTGTCAGACAGCTGTGTAAATACCGAAAAAAACCCACCTTCCGTCTTTGCTGTGGGGCATGAGGCACCATCCACGCTCTAAATCAATATCCTGTCGTGCAAAACCTGGGTGTGGGATGCCAGGAAACTTCCCCAGGCAACTGCCAGCGTCCTGAGGCCATCTGCGTTAAAGTGCTCTGTGAACTGTAAAGTGTTCTACAAATAGAAGTTGTTATATAATCTCCTGGCAATACGTTATTTACCCATAAGAGCTGAACGAGGTGGTGAAGAAGCTCTATGCCATCCTCAGGAGCTCGCGCCAGGCAAGTAGCCATCGTGGGAAGCGCGGGGACCAGAGAGTCAGAAACCAGGCGTTTGAATTCTGGCAGGCCTTCTACTCACTCTCTTCCAAAGACTCTAAAACTCCCCAGTAGCAGAAATAAAAATGCTTCTCTCTGTGGTAGAGCCAAGCCAGTTGCCTATGGGTGGATGAATCACATGCTTGTGGGCCTGGGGGACTGCATTTATATTCCCCTTACATTCCCATCCTCCCACTCCAGTCTCCACTGCCCCGCTTTGGCTCCTGTCCCTACTATGACATTGACACTCCCGGAGCATGTGACAAAAACCTGGCCCAAGGAACCACAGCTTACTTTCTGTCTGTAGAGGAAGGCAGTGGGCTGCTTGGGTAGCTGTGGTTCTTCCTGGTGAAACCAATGGCCTGGAGGAGGCTGTCTTGGTACGATCCGCTCACATCCTCCCCAAATCTTCAGACTTTCAGGGCGCATCTCCGCAGACACATTTACTGTACACTGTCCCTTTGTGTTTGGCTTTTTCGGTGTCCTAAGGCCCTGGAGTCTGAGAGTTTTGTCATAATTCTAGGCTGCCTACCAAGCCACATTTGGGTGGCAGCATGGAGGCTGCTGACCTATTTTGCAGAGAGGCACGGTAGCGAAACTGGATGAAGAACATCTCGGAAAGGCAGCCTGCTTTTTCAAGTTCATGTCGTATTTTACTGGATTTCCAAGGCTAGCAGCTGTGGCCTCCTCCAGGCTGGTGTGGTAGGTTGGTACCTGAAAAGAGAAATCCATATCCGAATTTCCAGAACCTGTGAATGTTATCTAGAAAAAAAGGGATCTTTGTAGATGTAGTTAAGGGTCTTACGATGAGGAGATCATCCTGGATGATCCGAGTAGGTCTTAAATCCAGGGGTAAGTATCTTTGTAAGAGTGAGGTGGAGATGACAGAACATTGTGTGTCAATCATAATTCAATTAAAGACAACAACAACAACCACAAACCATTGCATAAGGTGTTGAGTTGTAGAATCGCTGTGTTGTACACCTGAAACTAATGTAACATTGTGTGTCAACTATACTTCAAAAAAAAAAGAGTACAAAAATAAAAACAGTGAGGCAGAGGGGAATGAGACAAAGGCAGAGAGACACACAGAGAAGACGATGTGAAGACAGAGGCTGCAATGTCCAACCTTTGGACAGAATTGCAGACCTGGAAAGAGTTGCGAAAAGGTTACAAAGAATCTCCATATCCTCGTCCCTAATTTCCTAAGTGTTACATCAGATAGAAGTACAATACAGTGATCAAGAGGAGAGAATTATGGATTTTCTGGCTGGCTCAGTCGTTGGAGCACGCTACACTTGATCTCAGGGGTCGCGAGTTCAAGCCCCATGTTGGGCATAGAGCTTACTTAAAAAAAAAAAAAAAGATGAGAAAATTAGTACTAATGACACTATTATCCAATCTACAAACTTTATTCAAATTTTGCCAAGTGCCCCAGTCATGTCCTTCTCTGGTCCAGAACCCAATCCAAGGTCACATGTTGGGATTCATTTTGAAATGTACCTCTCCCTTACCAACCACATTTAACCCATCAGAAAGTTCTATCGATTCCTTCCCCCGGATACTTCTTCCGTCCCTATACTGAGCAGCTGCACCTAGAACCAGCCCCTATCCCTGGTACCTAGATGACCGAAGCAACCTCCTAAATGGTCTCCCTCTTTTTGTCTCCCTCTAATACAGGGGCCACGTGGTTTTTGTGTGAAGGGCTTGATAGCAAACATTTTAGGCTTTTCTGACCCTGCAATCCCCATTGCAACCACTCCACTCTTCCATTGCAATGTGGAAGCAGCCATAAACAATATGTAAACTAGTGAGCGTGACTGTGCTCCAATAAAACTTTATGGACACTGGTATTTGTCCTTAAAACCTTCACATATCACCAAATCTTCTTCTTCTTCTTTTTTTTTTTTTTAAGATTTTATTTATTTATTTGGCAGAGAGATAGAGAGAGAGAACAAGTAGGCAGAGAGGCAGGCAGAGGGAGAGGGAGAAGCAGGCTCCCTGCTGAGCAGGGAGCCCGATGCGCGGCTCGATCCCAGGACCCTGGGATCATGACCTGAGCCGAAGGCAGCCGCTTAACCGACTGAGCCACCCAGGCGCCCCACCAAATCTTCTTTTGATTCTTTCCAACCATTTGAAAATGTGAAAACCGGGGTGCCTGGGTGGCTCAGTCCGTTAAGCGTCTGCCTTCAGCTTAGGTCATGATCCCGGGGTCCTGGGATCGAGCCCCGCATCGGGCTCCCTGCTCAGCTGGGAGTCTGCTTCTCCCTCTCCTTCTCCCTCTGTGATCTCTCTCGATTTTACTCTCTATCAAGAAAATAAACAAAATCTTTAAAAAATAAATAAGTAAGTAAATGTGAAACCATTCTTTGCTCCTGGACCATCCAGCCTACTCTTTGCTGGTGCCCTGTTCTGATCTGTCCCTCACACAACATCCAGAAAGACACCCCGTCACTCCTCTGTTTAAATTCTGCGCTCAGAATAAGACAAAGCCTGCAGTGTTTGGATGCTGCCCGCCTCTCTTACCTCACCCTCGACCTCTCGCTCTCTCCTTCACCACGCCCTACCTACTCTACCTTCTTTCCCAGGAGGTCAAGTTCCCATTTCTGGTTTTTGCACATGTTAGTCCTTTCCTGTAGCATGCTCTCTCCCAAGTTCCCTCTTTACCCAGCCAACTTCCATTTGTCTTTGGGGTCTGTTGGGCTGTCTTGGGGCAGAGAAGCTGAGACTTCCTGAAAGAGTTCTTCTCCGACCCTCCCCTCATTGAAATTATGCTCCCCTCATAGCACTATATCCTAAATGTGTTTTTTTTCCTTTAGAACACTTATCACCATTTGTAAATACGTATGCAGGCCTTTATTTGGTTTTCCTGGAAAACCCCACAAAGCCAAGCTGCATGTCTGCTTTGTTTACATTGTGGACCAAGCACCCAGCCGGGTGTCTGGCATCATGGGTGTTCCTTGGAAGTCAGCGAAATAAATGGATCCTCCACTAGAATTCCTTTTTGGCCAATCAGGAGGCCCCCAGGGGACTTCAGAGAAGGGCCCCGAATGAACCAGAGCAGGCAGGCTTCCTGAACAGAACCCTCCGCCTACTGACCTGATACCTGGGCTGGGCCCTGGCAGCTCAGGGCACCTTCCAAAGAATCTGCCCCGGGGAAATTCCTGACCCTGGAGAAGCTTTCTCTACGGGCCCCACAGAAGCCGGCTATGCATTTTTACTCTAATGCCGTCCATCTGCTGTTCTTCCTGCCCAGAACAGCTTCCCCCACTGAGGTTCGCTCCTCTCCATAACTCTGACCATTTTCTTCTACCTGGGGTTGCCTGCCATCTTAAAAACAGAGCTGTTGAACCAAAAAATACTTTACTCGGCTGCCTGTCAGGAATGCTGGGCAATGTCCAGAGGCCACGAAGAGTAACACAGCAGCCTGCTTGCCGCCCTCTGCCTGCTCTCCTCCGCCCTTCTCAGGGCTGCCTGCCAGACTTCTTTGGCTAAATCTCCTCTAGCCCCTCCACGCACACTTCCCACTGCCTGTAGGATAAAGTCCGAACTCCTCAGCCCACCTTGCAGATCTTCACTGTTCAATCTCAACTCATTTTCCAGCTTCATCTTCCATCTGCCTCCACCCCATCCTGAACTCAATATTCTAGATATTCTAGATCGGAACTGTCCCATACAGTTGGCGCCAGCCACCTGCGGCTGTTAAATTTTTAATTAAAATTAAATTTTATTAAATTTTATTAAAATTAAAAATTCAGCTCCGGGCGCCTGGGTGGCTCAGTCATTGGGCGTCTGCCTTCGGCTCAGGTCGTGATCCCCGGGGTCCTGGGATTGAGCCCCGCATCGGGCTCCCTGCTCGGCGGGAAGCCTGCTTCTCCCTCTCCCACTCCCCCTGCTTGTGTTCCTTCTCTCACTGTGTCTCTCTCTGTCAAATAAATAAATAAAATCTTTAAAAAAATCTTAAAAAAAAATAAAAATTCAGCTCCTAACTGCAAGTGCGAAATAGCCACAGGTGGCTAGCGGTTACGTATGGGTCAGTGCAGCTCTACAGCGTTCCCATCATTGCAGAAAATTCCATTCGGACAGCACTGTGTTAGACAATAAGATCCACTCAGGATTTCCTAAAAACTCTTTATTATACAATTTACATACAAGTACATGCTTATTGCTAATTTCCTAACACTACAAGAATCTCTTTTTATTTTTATTTTTTAAAGATTTTATTTATTTGACAGAGAGAGACACAGCCAGAGAGGGAACACAAGCAGGGGGAGTGGGAGTGGGAGAAGCAGGCTTCCCGCGGAGCAGGGAGCCCGATGTGGGGCTCGATCCCAGGACTCGGGGATCATGACCTGAGCTGAAGGCAGACGCTTAACGACTGAGCCACCCAGGCGCCCCTACAAGAATCTCTTTTACCAATTCTAGACCTCTCCCTAGAGATAGCCACCAAAATCAGTTTGGTATATAGTCTCCGAATTTTTTGTGTGTTCTGCATTTTGTTTTTTTTTTCATCCAACAGGGTCTTGGAGCTCTTCATATAAGAACACATCTTGGGGCGCCTGGGTGGCGCCGTTGGTTAGGCATCCCACTCTTGGTTTTGGCTCAGGTCACGATCTCATGGTTGTGAGATCGAGCCCGGAGTTGGGCTTTGTGCTCAGCCTCTGCCCCTCCCCCTGCGCGCTCTCTAATAAATAAATAAATCTAAAAAAACAAAAAACAAAAAACATCTCCATCTACCTTGTGCTTCAGGTGCTGTAGAGTTTAGCCATGGCATGAATGAATTCTAGGTTATTCAACTATTTTTTTTTTCTCTCCAGCACTTTGGTGTTTATCGTTATTTCCAAATCTCTGGTGTATATACAGGATTTTTTAAGTGGCTGACGTGGCCGGTGGGCCACTCTGAGGGGCAGGGCTTGGGCCCCACCACCCTGTCCCCGGGGGGAGTCCCTGGGCCTGGGCCTCTCAGCACCGTCTGACCTATGCACTTTGGTGACCGGCCAGCCATCAGCCTCTTGATGGACATTTGCTTCCAGTTTTCCCTTACTGCAAACAAATACTACATGCAAACATCCTTGTACCTTTTTCTGCACTTCTACACATGTTTGTCTAGGGTAGATTCCAAAAAGTGAAATTGCTGGATCACCAAGTCATATGCTAACGCCTCTGGGGCTTGGCACACCCTGGTGCTCCCGCCTACAATGCCTCTTCACATGACTAATTCCTGCTCATCAAGCCCAATCAAGTGTCATCACCTGGTGAAAGGTGGTCTATTCTGGCTCTGTTTTTCCAAAGTACTTCCTACCCACACTGTATCATTAGCCTACACCTAAGACTATGCCTTATTTATCTTGTATTCTCAATACCTAGAAGAGGGCTTAGCATAGAACAAAAATTCAAATGATTTCTCCACTGGATGACTGAATGAATAAATAAACAAATAAAGGTACAGTGGTTAGGACATTCCAGAAACTCAAGGTGAGAGAGTCTGTGAGTGTTGTGAACTTAGGCGTTGGACCAATCTGCCACTGGTGCCCTGAGCCAGGCTGCCTCTCTCGGTTTCTGTCTATCCAGCCTCTGACCCCGGGCATCTCATTTTGAACTCCGTTTAAGTTTAGTATTTCGAGGATAGAGCTGCATGAGTATTCAGGGGCTCTCTGGCCGCAGAGCATAGAAATCTGAGCCCCTAGGGACAGCAGGGGGTTGGTGTTCCAAAGGCAGCTCTGTCTCCTTTCACCTTTGAAGCAGCTCCGTATGCTCTGGGTTTTAGTTTGTTTTTTCTCCCTACAGTACCTTAGGGGCAATTAAAAGCAGCTGCAATATTTTTGCTTTCTGCCTCCTGATTGGAATCTAAGAGAAGCCAGATGCTTTCCAGTCCATATCCCCTTCTCCTTGTGATCTGAGGAATAGCCCTCTTTTCTGAATCTCTCTCTGGCCTGGCTTTCCCAGATGCCAGTCTGGCTTGCAGCCTTTATTTTTAATGGGGTTTTAATAGGTGGTTCCTGCAATTAATTTCATTCTTGTGTTTTCACACTTTCTGTCTAGGTGCCTGATGGCCCCCAGGCACTAGGTGGGATGTTAACTGACTTAAAATAATACAGGACAGTATAGTTGTCAGTATAGATTAGCTCAGCTCGTCTCATTTACAGCTTTCACAATCAGTAATTAGCTGGGGCACACGGTCCATTTGGGAGGTCAGCCGGGTCACCTGTCATGTTTCATAGAGGTAGGAACAGAAATACGAAAGAAAAAAAAAAGTGACTTTTTCATGCCCCAACAGAGACTGGGTGTTGAAACTGGTTTCAGAAGCCACATCCTGCTGGGTACACACCCAGTGAGTGCCAAGGCCAGGATCCACTGCTCAGGTTGGATTTGCCAAACGCGCTGCGTCTTGGATGCCCACAGTTTCACCCTCTCACTAGGACTGTGGAGCAGCTCAGTCCTCAGCAGCTAATACTACCACCTGAAATTACCCTCATTCATTCTCTTCAGGGCCCTTTTCCATTTTATGAGCGAATTTATCTGCATAAAGAACGCATCAGCGGTTCCTCTCGGATTCAGAAAAATACTTTTGCTATTTTTAAAGCTGCAATTTAAAAATCCGCGCACACGCACTCACACACTCCTCAGGGAGTGGTGGTGGGGCGGGGAGTGGGGCAGAAGAGTACGTGCTGGAGAGAGAACGGCTTGGCCTTTGGCTTCCCAAAGCGCAACGCCGTCCCCCTGGGGGTGCACTCCTCTGAGCCGGCTGGGGCTCTGCAATCCCCAGCGAATTTGCGCCATCAGGACCCTCTGAGCGCCCGGGGCGTTGGACCCTGCTAACCCGCCCCCCCTCTCTCCTGCCAGGCGGAGGGCTCGGTCGTCTGGTCCCCCGGCCCAGGAGGGATCGGGAGGGACGGAGAGGCCAAGCAGGTGGCGATTAGGTCAGCCTCGGAACATTCTTGGACCGCTCCAGTGGATATAAATAACAGACAGGCAGGCTGCGAAAAATCCCAGGGTGGGGGCAAAGAGGGTGAGAGAGAAGGGACTTATTAAGGGTGGGGTGGCAGCGTGGCGATCTGGAAAAAATCTACCAAAGCTGGTGACTGACAAGGGGTGGGGGTGGAGGGGCAAAGGGATTTAAGAATGAATCGTGGTACAGAATCTGGGACTAAGAACTCGGAGGGGGAGGAGCTCATGCCTTTTTGCCCCACCCCCACCGCGTGTACAACGCAGTCCTCAGATTGGCAGGCAGGGCTGTGCATGGAAAGGGCACGGCTTTGGAATCCGGGTCTTGCCCGACTACGGATCTTTTGCAAGCTGCTGAAGGTCTCCCGGCCTCAGTTTCCGCATCTGTACAATGGGAATCCTAATGCTTCAAAGAGGGTGGTTGTGAGCTTCGCCGGAACTAACTTATAAGAAAGGCGTGCTCAGCAAAGAAATGTTAAGGCAGTGTAGCCCCCAGCCCTCCCTCCAAGGGGTACCCGGGCAGGCCCAACCCCTTCCCGCTTCCACGGGTCTCCCAGGCTCTGCAAAGGCCGGGAGGGGCAAAGCCGAAATCCGACTCCCTTGAGCCGCGCGGCGCCACCCTGCGGAGCGGGCGCCGGCGCTTCTCCCGTTGGAGCCGATGCCCCACGGCCCGCGCTCCGGGAGCCGCGGGTCGCCGCGATGCCTGCAGCCCCTGCGCCCC